GGGGGGGGGGGGGAGCTTAGAAGAGAGGTTTCAGATGTCCACCCCCAGTGGGCTCAGTATGTGGGAGGCAACTGGAGATGGATAATAGAGAACCACCTTGCATCACCCTTTACCCTTGTGTTCTTGATTGCCAAACCCTAAGATTTTTCTCTCTAATGAGTAGCTGAGCCTTACACTTTCAACTCTTCAGGGCATAGTTAAGGGATTACAGCTGGATGCTTTAAGGCACTGACTGACCTTCTGGTGCAAAATGAGGCAAATCCATGCAAATGAAAACCTGGCAACTTTTCTTGAAACTGTCATGATTTCAGTATTGTAAAGTGCTCATTCCAGAATTTTCAGGGAAATCTCATGGGTCTTCCCAGTCACAGAGTCAAATTCTCACTGTTGGATCATGATGCCTTTGAGGATCAACAAAAATAAAACTTAACACTGTTTTAAAAAAATGATTAAGACACATGTTTTAAGTTCTGCAAGGTGTTTCATTTAGAATGTCAGGGCTTCACATAACACCAACCAAAACCAAGATAAACCTGAAGTTATGATATCTGTACACTGTTAAAGGGAACTGTAATGATAGATATGTAAACAAATATGTGTGTGTGGAGTGGGAAGAGAACCTTGGTTTTTCAGTTCTGTTTCCTGACAATATGTCATTACCAGTATTTAGTAGAATAATTGGCACATGGTATCATTCAGAACCATAAATTAATCATCTCAAAGAATCACAAGCTGTTTTAGGGATAGTTTAGTTGTCATTTTTACAAATTGTTTTGCCTGCAGAACCTTCTCATTCCTATAAATTTCCAGAATTTATAGAGTAGAAGAGGGAAGATGAGTCTGTGAAAAAGTGAAAGAAGCAGCCAGAGAGTAAGGCCAAGAATGAAAAGAAGTCAGGGAGTGAGGGACCAACCAATGTCCATTGGCTTAGGATATTTCTAGGCCTCAAGGCCGAGCAGGGGAGGTAGAGCATGGTGGGTAAGAGCCTGGATTCGGAAGTCAGACTTCCTAGGTTCAAGTCCCAGCTCCACTATTTACATTGTGTTGGGTAATTGGATGGCTTAACCTCACTCCACCTCAGTTTTTCATCTGTGAGGTGAAGATACTGATGTCACAGAACTGATACAAGGACTATATAGTCTAACTGCCTGCACATAGGGAATGCTTGTTTCAAATGCTATTTTCTGAGAAATTGAGGGCTTTGGGTAGAAGGGAATGCAGTCTAGTGATGGTTTAGATAGTCCAATCAGTGTGATCCTAACCGACTCCATTTTCTCATCTGATTCTTGTGACTAAATATATATATATTACAAGTTAAAAAAGAAAGTATAACAAACAGGTATGAAATTATAATCATTATTAAACCCAACATCCTCATTATTTGTTCATGTGTATTTCCACGAATTCCAGGAGACCACACCATCTATGTCTGAAGTTTCTGCCAAAGGTTTACCTTCTTGAGTATCTTCACAAGGAGAGGACAAAAACTGCCCTCAACTTCTGAAAGGAAGAAACTCATTCTAAAGGCAAAGAGTCTTCTGTCTTCCACCTAGCTGTTTCTCTCTTTAGCCAGCCTCTTCCATCTCCACTGTCCACTGAGTGGTCAGGTGAGGAAGGCGCCTAAGTGAAGGTGCCCCAAACTATAACCCGGGATATCTCAGCATCTACTGAGTCCTAGAGTCTGGGGAAGACAAATTCCACTGTAATGGGGCAGAACTTTGCTCAGCTGCCAAAATTCTTGAATTAATTTCAAAATTATATTGAGTATGTATAGAATTTTGTTTTAACCATGACACAGTATCATGGGATATTTAAATCCAGAGACCTATTTTGTTACTCCACCTCTTGAGCGATAAGACAAGTACTACCTTCCTTCATATAGCAGAATGGTATATTTTGTCAGCTTCTTAGAACAAATTTTTGCATTTCCCCAGTGTTATGGAGAATATCCATTGATTAATCAATTAAAAATTCTGAATTTCCAATGGAAAAAATTCTTTTTTTAAAGCTAATTAGCTCACACACACAGATGCGCACACACTGGGATTTTAAAATAATTTCCTTTTCCTTTTTGGAACAGCATTAACTACCAGTATTATTTTTAAAGTTTTGCATCACCATTCAGATACATTTTAAGGCGATCAGAAGGCTAATTTTTAAATGTGTCTCATATGGTCTGTTTTGCGTGGTAGGCTAATCAGGATAAATCTTCCTTTGAGACATTCCTTCCATTTATTTCTTTGTTTCTACAACAGCCAGTTTGTTCTTCACCTCCAAGAGAGCTAACTTGACTTTTCCAGGGATTTTCAATTATTTCCAGATGTTGGACAAAACACAACATTGAGAGCACCATGATTTTCAAAGGTTTCTCATCTCTTACATTTGTCCCTTTATTATCTTTTAAATTTAATGTTCATCATTATGTTTTATAGGGTGTCATAGGTTATAAGTCATCCTATATTCACTTTTACATTCAGATTTCACACTTTACTAAATTTACAGTAATTTTTCCTCCTTTCATTGCCAATGTCCCCAAAGTCAAAGGCTCAGTTCTTGGTGTTTTATGTTCCTTCCTGAGACTTACTGAATTCCCAAATATCAAGGCACTTTTCTGAACCTGTTCTCAAGTGTGGGTTTCTCAGTGTTGAGGTGGAGAATCCATCTCATCCGTGCTGCCTTTAGCAGCTGTGTAAATACAGCTGGAAACTTGCAAGTGGACGGGGTCGATTGTAAATACATTTCCTTATGTGTTTTGGAATGTTGTTCTGAGAACCACGAACCATGAATTTCAGATGTGCCCCCATGACTGCAACTCTCATATTAAATGTGACTTTCTGGGTTTAGACAAAGCCTTACCTTTGGTGGACATATTACTTCTTTAGCTTCAAGCTCTTTCTTGGACTTTCCATTTTACAATATCCTAAAACTCATCGCTAACAGAAATATTACAAATTCTGTAGTCTTCTGAATGTTTGGTGTAAGGGAGGTGTATTAGTTTGCTAGGGCTGCCATAATAAAGTACCAAAGACTGGGAGGTTGAGGCAACAGAAATTTATTTTCTTATAGTTCTGGAGCTCAGAACTGGTGTCTTTTGAGGCCTTTCACTTTGACTGATAGATGCCCATCTTCTACCTGTGTCTTCAATTGGCCTTCCCTCTGTGTGTCCCTGTGTCCTAATTGCCTCTTTTTATTGGGACATATTAGATTAAGGTACACCTTCATGACCTTATTTGACTTTAATTACCTCTTTAAAGACCCTGTATCCAAATACAGTCACATTCTGAGGCACTGGGGGTTAGGATTTCAACATATGAATTTTGGAGGAGACACAATCCAGCCCATTCTAGGAAGAAAGCAAGAGGAAAAGGGAAGTGGTGATAAGAAAATTACTCAAGCCTGCTGTTGAACTATTGAATATGTGTGTTCTACACTCAACAGATATGAAACTAAACTCACTATTATCCCCTTCTCCCAAATCCACTGTTTTTCCTGTATTTTTCTGTTTTAAGAAAGACCAACATCATTCAAGCACTCACAAAGCCCAGAGCCTGGGATCATCTGGGACTCTTTTCTCCAGCTAATCTCCACTAGTCTATGGCGATCCTAGTGAGTCCTGCAATTCTATCTTCATGATGTAATTTGACTCTTTCCCTCTTCTCCTGTACCATGGTCTCTGCCTTAATTTGGGTCATTTTTAATTACCTGGATTACTATAAAAGTCTCTTAATGATCTCACTTTTTCAATTCTGCCCCTTCTCTCTTCCCAAATCCATCCTCTGAATTACTCTAAGAATTAATCTTTCTAGGGGAAAAAAAAATCACTTTCAGATTAAATTTCTTCAAAAAGGTCTATATTGTTTTAAACATAGAATTCAATTTCTTAGCTCAAGCATGCAATAAATTATTTCCCTTCAGTCTGATTTATTGGACTTAGGTCACATGCTCATCTCCAGACCATTATCAGATCCAAACAATCCAATGCACTGATTGGCTAAAGTAACTAGGATCTACTTCTTGGGGTCACCTTCCCTGGAACTTGTGGGCTATATGGGGGAAGGATGGAGACCAGGAAAAAAAATCAGGGTTTAATTAAGAAAGAGTAGGAGGAAAGAGACAATGCGTGTTTGGCAGGTAACCAATAAAGTCTACTATAATCTGTTCCTTCATGGAATTTACAATCTAGTGATGAAGGGAGAAAAATAAAGCCAAAGTTATAATGCAGCGCGGTAAGGAGGACTGTAGAGCTCTGCCCAGTGCCCAGTGTAAGCACGACTCCTCAAAGATTAGACCAGGGGCTCAAAGAAGTTTCCTAAAGGAGGTGATGCATAACCTAAATTTATGAAGTATGAGCAAGAGTTAACACATTGAAGTCAGGGAACAGAACATTCTGGCAGCAGGGATAGCAAGCGAAAAGGCCCACGAGTAATGCAGCAGAGTGACTCAGTGGAAAGCCGCACATCATTCAGGCTGACCAGAGAGGGACTGGAGCTGAGGCGGGAGTGAGAGGCGGGGGCAGATCATGACACGCCACGAGTCTGATTGTATCACGTACCTGTCAAACCTACTGCTACCACGCATGTAACGCTGACTAAAATGCCAAATACTGTACACAGTTTTACATAACATAGCACTCTGGTACTATGGTATAAAGTCCACTTAAAAAAATGAAGAAACTGAGACTAAAGGGTTAAATAACTTCTCCACAGACCTGTTTCTAACCACTTTTATACACATGCTTTCACCTGGAACTCAAACTCATGGAACCTGTTATTCCAAGCAATGACATGGACTGAAAATAAACAAAATTGGGGGAATATGTATTCGAGCTGCAGTTGGATATATGAAGATACATTTGAGAATGAAATACCTAAGGAAGCTTGAAGGGAAAGTCTGTATCTTTTGACCAAATCCTCTGGTGGACTACGGTACACGTGTCAGGGACAGAAGACAGGGGTCAGGTTCTGGCTCAGGGTTCTTTGATAGAATTTCTTAGCTCATGATTGGTCCCTGCCTCTACCCATAATATCTTTTTCTCCTTTCTTCAACTTTCTGACTTTTGTTCATTCTCCACAAATTTAGTTTAAGCATCGCCTCTTTTAGGAAACTTTCTTTGGACCCCTGGTCCAATTTAGAAAGGAGCCTTGGTGCTCGCCATGTACCCTGTGCAGAGCAATACGACCGTCTTCATCACATGGCACTGTAACTTTGGCTTTCATTGTTCCTCCACCTCCTCAACCCAGACTCTACGTTTCATGAAGATTGATATTGCCTACTTTGTTTTTCTCTTTCCTAAGAAAACTTTGCTTTTGTCCAGGTCTCTGTCCCTCCTGCATTCAGTCCACATGGCTCAAGGGAGGTCACCACTTTCCCATCTGAAGGAATGGATCTATTGTTTAAGCCAGTGGTTCTCAACCAAGGGTGAGTTTGCCCTCCAGGGAATATTGGACAATGTCTGGACACATTTTTGATTGTCACAATTGGGATTTACTACTGGTATGCAATTAGTAGAGGCTGGAGATGCTGCTAAAACATCCTACAAAGAATAGGACAGTCTCCTCCCCCTCCACATCCCCCCCACCCTACCCTTTGACCCTATCCAAGAAATAGCCTTCCAGCCCCAAACGTCAATAGTGCTGAGGTTGAGGCTGGTTTAAGTCAGTGTTTCCGTGACTTTGCTTCCTGACCGTTAATGGTCTAGGGCTGAATATATGCCCTAAGTTATCAGTCGTGATTGGGAGAAAGATGAAAGAGATGGACGATAAAGTTGAAGGGTTAAATTGTGGTTATGCTGTGGCGAGTTCTGAGTGGAAAGCTAAGTATGGTCTTCATCCTGTGATGGAGCAGCGGTACCGTGATTATTAAGGTATTTCAGGAGAGTGGGTATCCCATCCAACCTTCAGGATAGATAGGAGGGGACAGAGCATGATAGCCTGGAGCCTGTGGGGTAGCTACTGCTACAGTTCCTCGGTGATGGGACATGGTGTGAGTTCCTTTATGTCTCGAGCAATTAGCACAGTCTCCTACACGCAAAAAGACTCAAGTATGTTTCTTGGATAGTCGGATAGTAACTGTTTTTTTGGAACACAGTAGTAAATAGACTGATTCTGACCAAGTATTCTTATTTCTTAAAAATTTTATGTCACCTGTATGTCTGTGGTTACAATAAAGAAATATTAACATATAATAAATCCCCAATTTCCCTGTTTTGAAAGGACATCTCAGGTTAGGTAAGTTTTACATAAACACTGAAGTTAGTGTGTATATATGCGTGTGTATGTTTTATTGTAGAAGCAACTTTTGAATATATCTTCCTGGGATAGATTTTTGGTTGATGTGACAGTGCCTTCTTGGGTTTCTTTTCAAGCCCGACTGAGGCAAATGGCGAAGATCTCAGTGTTGACATGCCCTTGACCTCTTGCTGGGGCTTCAGACTTGCAGAAACCCGCCAGCCTTCTGCCCTCTCCCACTACCCTACTTACTACCCAGGCCTGCCTTCATCATTTCCCTGGCAGGTGAACTCTGGCTCTGAAGGAATCGGGGAAGTTTAAGTTTTATTTCTTCCCTTTGTTCCCAGCAATGGCTCTAAGGTGAGTTTTTTTTCTTTTTTTTCTTGCAGGAAAATGACTGTTATATTTTAGATTAATTCAGGGAAGCTCCTAGTGGGCCCCTTAAATATAACACCCACTGGCAGACATAAGCATTTGCTGCTGCAGTGGCTTTCGTAGTGTGGAAGGAGATCTATGTAGTTCCAGCAACAAGCTTATAAAGAATTTACTCTTTAGAATTAAGAGTGTAAAATATTGTTTTATAAGGTGTGCTATTTCTGTGCTCCCAAAATACTAAAATCTAAAAAATAAGATATTCTATAAACATGTTTTTGTAAATTGTCCCCCCATCCTTCTCAGTGTTATAACAGAAAACACTGCTCTTAGTGATTAGAAGTAAAATGTGGATGGCAAATTCAGAAGACATTATGATCCTTTATATGCTTTTTCTTGGCAAAGCAATTTAATTAGAAAATAATCTTCCTTTTTAACATCTGATACTATAAAATATCCTGTCTTCTTGGCAATAAAACCAGTTTATTTGAGTTCATAGCAAAATTTCGAGCTATTACATTAGTATGAAAATATGTTTTCAATAAGAAAGATGATTTTTTTAAAAATCGGAAATGCAAAGCACTTTAAAAAAAAGCAATCTTTAATTTTAAGAAGTTCTGTTTCAGTGGGGCAGGGAGTGGGGAACATGCTAACTGTTTTAGGGACGAAGGGCTTGCCAGGGAAGCGTCTTGGGCTGTTCACGCCAGTCTCAGCTCCTGCTGTCTGTGCACGAGCGTGTCGGGTGTGTAAGCGTGCACACGGGCGTGCGCCCGAGTGTGCGCGCGCAGCCACAAGGCCTCG